TCCAGGGAAGGCCAGGTCTCTGTTAGAGCATCAAGATGAAGCTGAGATAGGGGATTTTGCTAGTAATGGACTATGAATTCCAGAGGGCACAGAAGATGAGTTTCAAGAGTTCAGGTGGGGTGGCAGGAGACAGAATAGGAGTTACACAGAATCTCATGGGGATTCAAGTATGGGAGGTGAGGATGACTTGTGAGTCTGGGGCTTCCTGTGGTGACATAAATCAAGATAAATGGCAAAATATTATATCCAGTGGATTCAAGGCAAATAGTGATGGCAAAGCTGGGAGCATACAGGGGCCTGTGAGGGGTAGTTTAGTTCTTCTTTCACACCACTGTGGAGAGGAGGCCATGACGTGAGGTGTGGCACTTACTCCCTACGCCTTGTAACCCCAAGTGATGGGGTAGATTTCCACTTATAAATTACAAGTACTATCTGATATTACGGAACCTCTTGACTTCTCTTGACCCTACTCAAATCCAAAAGAAGTTAGTAAATAAAAGACAAGAACCCTGACAAATGTTCACTTGAATAGCAACTCTTATCTTAATTCTATACACTTGAGAGGCATAAGGAGCTGATAGAACAGACATCTTTCTGCCAAAAGACTCACTGAGTAAGGCAAAGCATGATCAGCAATTACAAAATCTTGTTTATAGAGGTTCAAGTTTCAAAGGTTGTAAAAATTCACTAGGACATTTCCTGATAAGTTCCAACTGGGTAGGTGCCATGTAATGGACAGAAGAGGATCACAGGGAAAAAGGAAAGACGCTGGGATCTTTTTTGGGAAAGAGACTGCTTCCCCACTAGAGGCTCCTGTTAAAGCCTGAACCATGAGAGTTCTGGGAGAGCAGCAGATAGGTAAACCTAGTCATAGCTGCCAACAGTTCTCACTTGTGGGACAACAGCATAAACCTTGGGATCTGGACCCACACAGTCAAATCCTAACTAGAATACTGTTATTGTTTATGAAATTCTCAGCTCTTGGTCAAGATCTTGCTTTTTAGCCAGAGTTCTTTCTAAATCACTGTCATTAACTACTTGGAGAACTGTTCTGATGCTCACAGTTCCCATAATGCACCTCATATTTTAACAGAGACCATCTAATGCTACATATTGTCTACTGCACAACTACTAAAGGTATTAGCTCTTGGATCTTAAGAATTCAAAAGGTTTTTGAAAGAAAGGAATAAACCTAAAAAGAACATCAGTTACCACTTACCATGCTGTTTCAAACATAACAGTTTTAATGGGATCATGTTATCAACAAAAGAGTTAGAAGGAAAGCAGAATGAAAAACTAGTTATCTTGTACATACTACAGAGATAAACCATGCTCCCTATGATGAAAAAAATTAACTACTGAGCATGTTCAAAAGGAATTAAAAAAGCAGAGTCAACAAAGAGATCATGATAAAAGACTCCTCCTTACTGATCACCACAAGGAAAGTGAGAAAGTGCTAGACATTTTATAGCACTGCCTATCAAATCTGAACTCAAAACAGTCTCTTGGCAATGAATAAATCAACTAAGTAAATTCCTGATTTACAGGAGGTCAAGAGTTCAGAAATAAGAGGGTAACCCTTGAGAGAAAAAAAATGTGTATGAGAACTTGTAGTATAAATTTGAGGACCATCCTCTCTTAGCTCTTCTCTTAGAAAAAGGTGCGTGCCTTCTTGAACCTTAATGAAGCAGTGGCTGAAGGCCTTTAACTATAGGAGGCAGATATGAAGGATAAGGTGGATGTTTTCTTTAATGTCCATTCCTAGAGAAGCTGGCAGGAATATGGGAGCTTTTAGGTAGAAGTAAAATATAAGGGGGATACAGCCATGTTTTACAAATAGCAGACTTGTGTTTAGCAAGCGAGAGAGGAAATAATGCAACATTATGAAAACCTAGTGTCCAAATAACTTCCTCACTGAGACTGGCAACTACTGGGCTAAAATCATCTAAGCATGACTTCTACTAGAATTAGATAAGCATGTCTATGTCTCAAAATGGATTAGTTTTGCTACAGTTGAATATACTGTAATCAGAGCACGGCTCCTTCTCTTCAGCCCTAAATATCCGTTAGCTCACTTTCCCTAAACTAATGCTGCTCCTTTTCTGTACTCCTAAGGGTCACTGTCAATTGAAGGACATCTGTGCCTGAAAGAATGAAGTGGTTGAGGAAGCCAGTGTATCCCTTCTTCCAGCTTTTGTCTGGATCTACGCTTTCAGAAGCTCTCAAGGAAGAGACATGGGGAAGCAGAGAGCTAGAGCAAGGACTTTGGAGTCACACAGTCTGCAGTGTGAACCCTGGCTCTGGCATGTACTATCATTGCCTTGAAAAAGTTTTTAACCCACGTCTCTACTTCTTTATCTGAAGATGGAATATTTATAGAGTAGTGAGTACTTATCTGTCATTTAATTATATCATCAATATTAAGACTATGAATGAGAGACTTGGTAACTAAAACTGGTTATTAACTTGAAAAAAATTAAGCAGCAATGTTCTAAAATGTTGTAACGGATATGTTTAAAGTACCAGAAGCAAAGTAAACCTTGCTTTCACACTGGCCTCTGAAGTTTCTAGAACCTGAAATTCCTTACCTGATAAAAACCTAAACTCTAAAAAGACAAGTCTTTTTTATGAAAGTGTTCTTTTTTGGACATGTTGTAAGGAAGGGGGCCACTTGGGAACTGTCTGTATTGAGTATGCCAGCCTGTGCACCAAGAGAGGGAAGCTCAAAACTGCATCAGGAAAGACAACACAAGTTAGTTACCCCAATCACAGTGGGTGTTACACATGGCATTGGGTCCATATGCAGCACTTCTATCTGCCACCTGATGCCCAAGCATACAATATCAAAGCAACTATTCTGTCCCCAAGAAACACACCTTAGAACAAGCCCCTTCAAATACTGCTTGTATCACCACAGATTTACAAAGTGACTCAAAGAGAAAGAAAGCAAGAAAACGTAGACGAGAAAGATAAATCAGACAATACTGAAGTCAGTAAAGCACTGAAAATCCCAAGAAGAAACAATTTGGTAAAGGAGAAGTGTTTGTTCCTTGGAGGAAAATGGTTGAAAACATAGATGTAGTAGCATGGCTGACGAGAGCAGGAAGGCTTTGTTGCATCTGAGTGTTACACATAACTATTAGAGGGGTAAACAGTTGATTTTACTTATGACTATAGTTGACAGGAAAAAAATCTCTTCTATGAATTTCTTAAAATGACTAAGATTTAGGATGTCTGGAAAATTGCTCATGATTTTAAAATGTTCAAGAAAACCTTCTCTAGTGCTTTGCAATGAAAATACGGGGAAATTAAGACAGTGTGCCAATTTAACACCTGAAAGTCCTACCTAAAAGTAAAGATATTTAAAGACTAGAATAAAATAAAGACCAGTCAGAAATTTCCTTCCTCAAAACAGCAGCAATCTAGTGATGATTATTACTACATGAAAATCAATACCGTCACTAAACGAAATTGACAAATTCATGTTTACTCTTTTCAGATTAAGATACAGAGATATCTAAGAATTTAAGTGGGGGGGGGAGCCACAGCTGTTAGGAAGTTAGAATCTTTGATAAACAGAAAGTAGTTTCCGGGGCCAAAGTTAAGAGCTGAAGGGGCATTAAAACATTTGATTACAAGGTTGAAAATAACAAAAGATGTAATAGGTCTTGGTTGGGTATTTTAAAACACTACAGACCAATTTACGGCAGGAATCTAATGCAAAGGAAAACCTCTAAGCTGCGGGAAACCCCACTACGATCAATGAAAAGAGAAATGTACATGATAAAAGAAGGGGGGGGGAGGAGAGGGCCCAGGCAGTGTTACCTGCAGTAGCACTAGCAGACCAGTCACAAGAAAGGGACTCGTGTCAGAGGCCAACACAGGGATAGATTCTGTAAACTTGAAAATTAGCAAATCATTTTATTTTGACTTTCCCTGTGAATTAGTCTTTGTTGATGTACTATAGTAGTGTAACTGATCATTATCACAGCATTTTTAATTAAGAAGGTAGAAGTAATTCCCTGAGCTGGACTTTAGTTTGAAAGGTGATAGTTCTCTTAGAAGACAAAGTATTTTTGCCACGAAAGCTAGGGCAAAGCTAAGACAGGCCTGAGCACTGTGATCTTACACTTCTAGATACCCACATGTAACGAAGGGCCACGAAAGGCACCTAGCAATCTCTTAGGCTCCTTATTAGAACAAAGTGTAGTCTGGTCCCATTACAGTATTTAAAAAAATAATAATAATTGTCTTTAAAAATGCTTATTTACTGGGCAGGGGGGTGGGAAGAAATGCTCCAAAGTTGGAGCATTTCATCACTAGGGTCATAATAAACCTCTAAATAAACAGAAAAGCTAGGAGAAGGTGAAAATATAAAATTATCACAAGGCATATTAAGGGAGCACAAAAAAACACAAGAATTAGGGAGTAAAAAAGAGAGCAAAAAAGATGAGCAATTCTAAAATAAAGGTGAAGATATGAAGATGAAAAAAAGCAAGAATTTATTTTAAAAAAGCAGACAAGAATTTATATTTTAAAAAACACACAAAACAGACCAAAAGTCAAGACTCCTGGGTCTGGTCATATAACCTTGGGCAAGCTACCTAACTATTCAATTCATATATTCTAAGAGTGGAGAGAATACACATCCTGCCTGTCTCATAAGGCTTCTTTGCAGGTCAAATAGGGTAAAGCAATGTTTGAAAACTGTAAAGGCAACACAAATGTAAGATGATGATATTATTACTTAATTTGTCCCTCATCTTCCAAAGAAAGAATAAGTATATGGTAGCTTAATTTTCTCCCCTGTTAGTTAACATCACAGCTACTGGTCCTCCTATACTCTAAAAAAAAACACACACACACAAAAAACCTAACAAAGGAGAGATCAACCCCTCGATCTCTAGTCTCAGTTTTCTAAAGAGAAATTCTTTTACATCTGTTTCATTTTTTCTCTAACATTCAAGAGACCCAAATAAAAGGCTCTTCTACAATCTTACCTTTTGATGCTGCAGGAGCAAAGGGCCAGGAAGGAGAAAAGCACCAGATATTGGGGGGAAAATGGAAGAAAGAGAAAGAATCATACATGGTTCGTTGTTATTGTAGATAGTCATTGAACCACCTGACCTATAAAGGCTCTGCCCAACCCTTATCAATTATGTATGTAGGTCTGGAGATAGTACCACAAGGCAGTACCAGAATTGGTTCAAGAGCATATCAAAATGGGCCCAGACTGAGCTTTCACCTTACTCTCATATCCCCACAAGTTATAATGATGTAAAATGCCTGCATGCAAAAAAAATCAAAAAAACCTGGGGGGGAAAATACCCACCTACATGCAACTGTTCTCTTTCCCAAACTCAGCATCCCCAGAATATAAACCCCACCTCTCTTCAACCCTCACCCAAAGGATATTCTAAATCCTACACTGGCCCTTTGCATGAAAGAGGAAGGGACTCACCCTTGGTCTGGGCAGAGAAGGCATGTGTAAGTTTGGCGAAAAGTTCACTGTTCTCAAAGCGGTCCTCCTTCACCTTGGTCCAGAAGCAGTCCTGGGAAAGGTCCTCAGCGACAAACTGTGGATACAGGCAGGTGTTTAGAGTTCCTAAGCTGAGCTCTGTACCTTCCGTCCTAGAAAACCGGTTAAGGTGCGAGAGACGGCTGGCCAGTTATTAGCACCGTCACACCAGAATCAGGCTGACCTTCCACACAGACAGCAGCTGTGCTCTTCACGATGAAATCAGATGATGCTTCAGTGCATGTGCTGATGATTATTCAAATTATGCTTTGTACCCTCCTCCTAACCTCAAGTCCACTAGTTTTAGAAGCACTAGGCTTTATTTTCACATCTGCTCTTGTTCTACATTAAATATTTTCCCATCAGTTTGGTTAACTGTGCCAAATTTGTTCATTTTATAATTCCTAAACTCTATTTTAACTTGGTTTCTGGAAGCAAAAGGCTGATGCAGAATCACAGGGGTCTCAAACACATAGTGGGAACAGTACTGTGCTACGCAAACATACCCGGAACAACTCATTTACTAGAGAGTGGAGGTAGGGGCTGTATCCATAAATCCATTACTTGAGATCAGCAAAATTATCAGTAGCTTGCAGATTGGTGAAACAACTATTGTCAAACTGTGTGTTACCCTGGCACTCATATTCTCAAAGGCCAAAAATACTAACTTAAGTTTAGGTTTTGTAGCAGAGTTTGGGCTCAAAGAACTCTCCAAAGTGATGTCTAGCATATAGGAGATGCTAATACCTGCCGAATACACATATGCATGAGGGGCAGTAAACACAGAAAGATGTGAGCCACAAGAAGGGGAAGGCCAACCATGCGCGAAGTACAAAGTAGGAGAGTGAAGTGGTCTCTGCAGATGTACTGATGAAGAAATGGACAAAAATTCTCACCTTGGACCAGTTTGGCCTCCGGAGCTGCACCTCTGGCTTATAAAGCTTCTTTGGGGTTAATCCATATGGCAGAACTGGGGCTGCAGGAACTCCAAATCCAAAAGGGGGAGGAGGAGGCATACCCATTCCAGGTGGAGGTGGAGGAATACCAGGGCCTCCAGGAAATGGAGGGGGTGGGGGGATTCCTGGACCACCAGGAA